TTTTTTTTATTTGTATTTTCTTCCAAACTTTATCCATATAAATACATAATTTGCATGTATTTATAGTCAGAGTGTTTTGGTAAAAGAAAAAATGATTTAAAATGATGTATCCTTGTTCAAAATGATTTATCCTCTTTCAAGGAAGAGTGGCACCCAGGGGCTGTAAATACTTTGGGGGTCCCAGACATAGGCTCCCTGGGGGCTATACTGTCTCCTTCAGCTGGCTGGTAGAGCAGAGCACTAGCCAGGCAGCTTGCGAGAGCACGCCTTTATTTAGCTAAGGTGGGTTGTGTGATAAGAGGGAGGGGGCCTGGCCACATGCTGTCTTACTCATGTCTCAAACACACGTGTCAGTTTCTCTGGCAGTTGAGACAACCTCCTTCAGAAGACAGCCTGACTGCAACTTTCCTGAGCTGCAGTGCTTAACTTCCACAGGCCAAATTATGGAAACTAACAAGCACTGGGAACCATTGAACCTTCAGAAAAATCACATTGATGATAACATCATTATTACTTGCCTTTGGCCCTCACACACTTGTCCTTTCTCTATTTTTTGAACTGTAGCCTGTGCTTCTGTGCAGTGTCCGATTCTTCCCCAGACTCCACAGCCCGGCCACCAAGAGCATGCTAAAATGATGCTGCTTTTACAACTTCTTCATTCCCCCACATTTTGTGTTCAGAGCTGGCATACGTGACCCTGTGATATACAGGATTTCAGATTAGGTCTGTTCCAACATAATCTTTAGAATCCTTTTGGGGGGTAATTAGAAAGAGATGGGACATAGCACAGTATAATTTTGAGCACAGATTTTAATCATTTCTCTACTATTAGTAGCTCCATGATCACAGACAATTTAACTTCCCAGGGCCTCAGTTTCCTCATCTTTGAGTACTTTCACGTTCTCCTCAAGGGTGAGGAACATGAATGACCGTGTTCTGCCTAAGCAGGCAGTTAGTGCATGGCTGTTAGCCATTCACCAATGGCTGAGATTGAAAGTGGCCTCATTGTTGCTGACATCACAATGAAGAGGCTCCTCCTACTAACATGAAAAAAGATTTTTCTGTATCTGCCTTCCTCCTAGTTACACCGACTAAACTGTAACCCTGCCTACTTAGATCACAAAGAAGAATTCTCTACAGAGGCCAAAGAAGGCCATTGTTTACATATGACATGTGCTAAGTCTCAATGTTGACATTCCCTAATTCCAGCTTCCAGG